AGCAACTATTTAACGTCCATAATTGATTTAGAATGTAACGAAATCCACACGTATTTCGATTCTATTTTAGACATCTCCTTTTTGTTATACATTTTATCCCGTTAATTGTCCAATTTTTATTATTTCTCGTACAAACTTTCAACGACTCGTTTTCGTTTCGACAGCTGTTACCGAGTCCGTCCCCTTTCATTTCCATTCCACCTTCATTTTCCAGCGTTCGTCGCGAAATCTCTCGTTAACGGGCCGGGTAACAGCTCGAAAGAGGATGGTACTTTAAATTTTCATTTTCTGTACGCGCGGTATGGTATAATTCATTATCGAGTATCGGAAAGGTGGTAGAACCAAAATGCAAAAACGTATTAGAACGTATTCCAAGCGATTACAACACCCGTTTTGCTCTTGCGAATGCAATCTCACAATTTCTCGAAATTTCCCTCGCGCCATTTTCATTTCCAATTTTTCTCCACCGTTCATAATTTTCCCGTTAACTCCGATCGAAGCTCGCGCATCAACCTGTCATCGAATTATGCTCGCGGAAACATAATCGTAATCTAACCGATTCGATCTCTCTGTTTCCTTGTTCTTTTCTTTTTTTTTTACCTATTTATTTATTTCTCTTTTTTCCATTTTTTTTGGTGATAAAAAAGCAGCATGTTCTCGAATAAATGTTATCGGTGCGATAAGAACCTCTACGCTAGTTTCTCGATTCTAACAGTAATTCACTAGATACACATCTTTAGCACACTTGTTTAAAACGACTTGGCGATGGATCGATCTAATACAAAATACAGATGAAACATCTCGGGACACGTCAAGGATCGCTGAAATCTTGAATCGATCACCCCTTTTCTCACCTGTATCGCTTAAAATTATCTTCGTCCTTGTCGATGTATTCTTTTATTATTATTAATATTAATATTTTTTTCTTTTTATCGAAACGATGAGACAATACTAATTATTCTAAAACGTTAGTCTTAGAATTTGTTACATGCGTTTTCGAGGGAGGGGTGAATTTCAGGTACGTTTTCAGTCTTTTCCTGGTAGACATGGCTCATCCTCGTCTAGTCGTGCTAATCAGACAGAATATACAAAGGAACCGGTGAACGGTGAAAAGGAAAATATCGAAACACGAAATAGTCCGGGAAAATTCGTAATTCCAATAATCGAGGATCGAATATAACCTTGACGTATAACTATAATACCAACTATAACACCATGCGAAATAGAGGAAAATCGATCATCGATATCTCAAATAACTCTTACAAAATGTCTACCGTCCGCGTGAAATTATCGTCTAGATCACATCTGAGCCAGGCTTACCCGTAAATTACGCTATACTTTAAGTTATATTTGTACTATTGGCGAATCTAGAAATGGAGGAGAAACAAAAGGTAGACTCTGATTGTTTCGCTTCGTAGACGATCAGCGAAATGTACGTGAGTTTGTAAATCGGACTTAAAATATCACAAGCAACACGATCGATCGCGTAAGCAAAAGAAAATGGCGTCTCTTCGTCTCTCGCTCCCTTGCCCGGCAACCGGGGCATTCTTCCTTCAAATCGTCAGCAATCGTGCTTGTTTTCCAACAGAAACGTAAAGGAATTATATCGAAATTTTCTATCCGTGTCTACGAAATTTAAAACATATCCCATCTACTCGTACATCGTAAATTACATCATAAATTACATCGTAAATTACATCGTAAATTATCGTACGATCGGTGCTCGCGAGAAATAATAAGAAAATAGCTGGTAAAAATTATTCAACGACGCGTATCGATACTTCTCTCGAAAGTAATAATACGAAAATAATTATCGATCGTTAGAACTTGTACTTTATCGTGGTTAATAATGAACACTGTCCTTTTATGCTCGTAATACTGATATTATCCTCACGTGTATATAGCCGCTAATGAAAAAATAATCGCCAACTGATACACACACGCACACAGTCGTTGCCACGACGTCTTTCTTCTTCTCGACGAAACGTTTTTTTCCAATTAAAAGACGCGTTCAGACGCAAAAAGGAAACGTGAAATCAGATGGCGCTTTGAGATTCAGGACGCACAACGATCCTTTCGATTGCCCCTTGTACAATAATAAGATCATTAAACGATAGCGAGTCGAATCTATTATCCATGATCTGTGATTAAAATTCGAACGACGGAACGATAACGTGTGTATGTATATAAAATGTCTCTGCAAAAAGAGAACGAAAATAGTATCTTTTTTGATTCGTTTCGAAGCTTATCTCTTACGAATTAATTCAGGTTGCATGCTTCATCGAACGAAACTGGCTTTTTCTCTTTTTTTTCCCTTTTTTCTCGAAGGTAGCGTGTAGGTGAATCGTCACTATTCGTTTACGAGTCATCGCAGTTTGTAAATAAGATTCATTGTCAGTCGTACGTCGAAACTATCTTTGCTAATGCCGCGACTAACGGAATAATCTCGATACCTATGCCGTATTCATTATGATTCGTATATTATATTCATTTCCACAGGGACAGTAACGTGTCACTTTTATCTTATTAACCAACTACCTATTTTTCTCGTAAGGATGTTTACAATAGTTAAATTGAGCTCTTGAATTAACAGTACGATCGTCGTGAATACGTTAGATTTCTTCAGACCAGCCTCGAGTGCCCGAACTTTCCTGCAGTGGTTGCATCGCTGTCGTTTTTAAACAAACCCCTCGTCACTACCGATTCTACTGCGCATGCCTGACTGACGTAACGTAACGAGTATTTGTCGATATCGTTTTTACATGTACAAAATCGCGAGTTACACCGTCTCTCAGCTCTCCGTTCGTTATAATTTCGATCGACATCGTGGTAATAAATTAATCGTTAAAAGATACTCGCAGTTTCGATCTTCGAGTCTCGAAGTCGATAAAAACGAAATCTGCGATGGAATTGGTTGATACATCTTACGCTTCCATCTTGGAAATTCTCGTCTATTATCATCTACGATCGAATCAATCCGGTCCTTTAATCACGATACATTTCGTGAAGTATCGTTTTACCAAGTATGTACTCTGTAAGATTATCGGTCTAATTCTTACGATACAACAAGACCTATAGTATTTAACAAGCGAATAAGGTCGAATAAATTGTCTAAGGAAGGGAAACTTGCGTCATCGGGTATAAGTTGTAATTTCCTTAAGTTTCTTAATTTTAACGATATTCGTGGGATCTTGGTACTGGGGCAGTGACAGTACCGAGAACCCGAAGCTACTAAACGCTATGTCTCGAGAAAATCTCTCTAGAGAACGAGATTCGATATCCTAAGTGATAAACAAACGAATCGTTATTGTTATATTCCACTTTCGTATTTGCATTCTTCCCCCTTTAATTTTAACTTCGTCTAATTACGAACAGCAAGTAGTAACGGTTTACGACTATTACGCCGTTCCCCAGGATCGATGCAGCGTTTTCCAGTCCAGGGTCGCGCAAATCTTGCATCCCCACTCTATTCCGTTACTCCCACCACTTCCTCCCCACTACGCCGTCGCGTCCCCACTCTATTCCGTTACTCCCACCACTTCCTCCCCACTCCGCCGTCGTGTCCCCACTTCGCTCCGCTAGAACGAATCACTGCTCTCGCGACATTACGAGCCGACTATCGAGAAACGTCAGCTTTTAAAATGAGCAATTCTATAATGGAAATAACACATTTTTACATTTTTATTAAATATTTACGAATATATTCTTAACAGAGGATATTCTATTCGTAAGATTTGCTCCATGAAAATGAATATAAACGTCATTTAATCTTCCAAAAAATGATTAATCGAATATTATTACATTGCTAATAGGTATTTCCGGGAAATACGTATGTACGTTGTAATAAGCATCCGAAATATCAATGTAACGTACTCGTAATGCACTCTTAACGTAATATATTAATTTAATATATCCACATCACTCAAAGTTTTAATCAAAAAAAAAAAAAAGAAAAAGAAAAATAGAGATATTGGTAGTGAAAAATATTGTAAAAATTTCACTCCTTCTGAGATTTCATCATTCGAATAACATTCGCGAATATTCCCTCATACCCCGGTTAAACGTTACCACTTGGACGAAAAACAGTTGCACTTATCCGGGGAACGCTATCGAGCTTCTACGATCAAAGTCGAACAGCTTCGTTTTATCTGTACTCGTTAAGTTTAACCATTAGCAGGCCGTTCTAATATCAGGCCGTAAGCGGGCTAAAGTTACATTAAACACTTGTCGTTGGACACTTATAACGTATCTGTTAAACGTATGGCTAACACTTACATTGAACGACAATTAAAGTGATCTTATTAAGTACGGTGAAGTGATTCGAACCATTTTCAGGTTTCGCGTTTAACTTAGCGTTTTCAATTGTTCGATGGAAAGATGCGTCATTGAGTTTCAATTCTACGCTAATGTAATTAATCGTAAAATCTTCCGTCGACATATTCCCTCTTCGACTAGGATTTACCGAAAAATCGAATAAAATTTCTAATCCCAGAAATAAACCGAACAAAAATTAGTCAATTATTTCTAGTCCTCTTTTCAACTTATTGTATCTCGTTGTTGAGTGGCATTAAAGAAATTTGCGAGCTGAGGGAGCGGTCAATGGGCTCATGGTTGACTGGCACCCCCAGAACGTATCTTTACGTTTAATACCTTCACAAAACCGAGACTATCGTTCAAAACTGTACTTTATCTCGTGTAATATATATATAATATATTTTTCTGATCAAAGAAAAAGTTTCGAATATTATGGATAATCCAAGGACATCGATGGCCCAGACACCATAATTTAACGAGTATTACATCGAGACGAAATAATTCGCGTAAAATTCGAAAAATTGAAATAAAATCTTACAAACGATATTTTCGAAACAAAAGGGATAATAAAATCCTACGATTTTTAAAATCGAGGTTGGATAAAATCACGTATCGTTGAATAAAATAAAAACAAAATCTTACAGAAAGTACTTTGAGATGAAAAGGATAATAAAATTCTAGGGGTCTTTTAAATCGAGGATGATCGCATCGAGGATCGTAGTTGAATATTCGCGTTGTCACTTACGCATACGTATCCCCTTGCGACGTTTCGTGGTACTCACGTACGCGAATATCTTCTCTTTCGCGTGCTTTCAAAGCCTTCCCAATCTTGTCTTCGTTCGGAACGATTTCGTATCTCCGTTAACGTTACGTGTAAATAATCGTTTAAACGTCTAGCGAAACGTCTTTTTTCTGGAATGAGGCGAAAATATACGGAGAAATAGCCGTAAATAATAGCCGGTACTTTTAACAGCTCGGGCACTCGGACTCGGCAAAAGTGAAGTAAAATGGGAATTGAAGTTGTGAATGTTTATATGTAAAATGTATATTTAGTACCAATGCCAAGTTATAAGTAACCTAAAGTCGCATAGGTTTTCACATAGGGTGCATCCACTCTACAGTTTTCCCTGAAACAAATTGTCAACGTTCAGCACGTTAATCGATCTAAATATAGTAATGTCTCCTTAAATGGCAGTTCGTAACTAACCTATAATTGACAGCCGTCTATCGACAAGGACAGACAGAACTTAAATTGAATATATCAAAATATAATCTCTTAAAGAAAATTTATTTCGTATTTTCCTTTTTTTTCTTCTTTTTTGTAAAGTAATAATTAATCAAATTTATTAAATTTGCGAGATTTTTCTGATAAGAGACTTGTATAAGATCAAACGCGTTGTTTCGTAATATTTCTAAATTGATAATAATAATAATCATAACGTAGGTAATATATTATTAAATTTATTTTGATCGTGAAATCGCGAAACGAATCGATGAACGTATGCAGAGTAACTCTGTTTATACGAAATTCAATCTGCATTGTTTCATCGAGTCGTCTGTGTTGGAAAAGGATGGAGTATGTTTCCATAAGTAACGTTGAGTGTACCACTGCCATCTATGGAGCCATCGCTGTACTAGGTTCGCGTTAACTGACGCGCCTTAAGCTCGGCAGCGTCGAATTATCGGGAACCCAATGAGTTCTGACTAGAGAAGAACGATAGAACTCGAATGCGGCGAATCACTAAACTAACGAAAAGATAACACCGAATCTTGGAGCAAATGCATCAGTTATCTTGGAACGATCAACAATTATTTTATTCCATAAACAATAAAGCGTTTTTATCTCTTTATTTTCTTTCTTCTTTTATATACTTTTTCCAATTTCTTTTCAAAAAATGACGATTATCATTGGACCAATAAGCCCCTGCGACATGCAACTTATGTACGTACGTCATTTGGTTAGAAATTATATTTCTAGAGTAATCTAGGGTTTTCTATAGGGTCTAGGTTCTAGGTATAAGGTTGTGTAAATTCAGTATTGTTTCACACAAAAGAATTTAGAGGTACGTGTATAATTTATCTTTTATAAGAAAGATAAATTAGAAGGTGAATAATAATTGAACGAATAATTAAGTGAATAATAATTCGTGGATAATGATGAATTTAAATTTTATGGAAATTATAAGTAACAAACAGAAACGATGTATCATGTCAGAGTATAGTTGATATATAGTATAATAATATAGAATATGATATTTATGATAATGGTGGAAGTGTGGGAGTATGAAATAAACTGTTGTACGTATATTGGATTATTTTTGTGATTGTATGATATCGATGCTATGGAAAATTTTTAAAATGTGCAAGAAGGTGAGGCGAGAATGAAAAGGTTAATTATTCTCTTGTATCCTCCATGTTTATTCCATAGTTCTAAAGAAAAATGCTGCATGTTGCTTTTATTTTCGAGGTATTATTACCGTTTAAATGAACATCAAGTTTTATTTATTTTTATTCGCACTTGGTTAAATTGCCTAAGTTTTTGGAAAATATAAAATTTATTTTTATTCCCTTTTTTTCTTTTCCTTTTCTCCGTTTCTTTTTCTGATAAATACAAACAGAATCTTTTCTGAGAAATTATATATGTATATCTTGCAATATAAATAACGAATATGAATGGAATGTTTCAAATTATGCGTGGAGCTTTTTTTACAATTACGAAATTTTCTGTGGTACATGCAGGGGCGTATAAAAATTATGTCACATCGCTACGATATTTTATATTCTCGGACCAGCGAGTATAATATTTTATGTTAAAAAAATTAATTGCAAAATTATTTTTATTGGAGTTTTTCTAAAATTTGTTACCATAATATGTTCTATTCGGGAAGAGAATAGAACGTGTCATGGGAATTATAGTTTACGACGGAAGTGACTTTTTGATAAGCAATGTCAAAGTCGAATGATTATTATTTTTTAATTATAATTTAACATTTTTATTAAGTCCAATAATTATATTTATTTTATCATTTATATTATGATTAATTTATCCTTGATTTAAATTAAATAGTTTTTAAAAACATAAATATTCAATTATTTACATTTTTTTCAATTTCAGATTAATCATTTTTCCTGTATTTTTAATTGGATGATTTTCTAATAATAATTATTCGATATTAGTATCTATTCGTTCAATTGCTCAAATAATTTCATTTGAAATTGGAATATTTTTTATATTATTTATTTTTGCAATATTAAGTGAAGGATTTTCACGAAGAATGCTTGTATATGAAAAGGGAGAGTGTTAGACTCTCTAGATAAGGGTGCAAGGGTGCAGAGAAGGCAGAAGGCAGAATGTCTGTAGTTGAGGCGTAGTGAATAGAGGATCGTGTGTTTGACAGTTAGAATTGACAGAAACTTACTGTAATATTTTAGTTAAATAAACCTGTTTTGTTATAAAAAGAGAATTGTTTATTAAACGCGCAGATCTCTGTCTGCACAGGATTAATTTAGCAAAAAGCCCTACAGATGTAACAGGTACAATTTTAAGTTCAGAAATTTCAACGTTGAATTATATCACAATTTTTTTCAATTATCGATACCACTTGGTTTTGTTTTTACGACAAAATGATGTAACGATATGCCATTTAATCATTATTAAACATGAGCTGCGTTATTTACTCTAATCTTTTAAGTTGCACTGTAGGATACCATTTCGGAAAGAAATCGCGAATCGGCCATTGCCAACAAAAACAAATTATAAACCGATCAATATTTTCTAGAAGCAAATGGAAAAGTTATTTTGGGTAACAAAATTAAGTTGCGTGGTCCCTACGGGGAGGTGAAGCGTAGGTTAAGAAAAGCATAAAAGCAGGGCCCTTGACGACCAAAACAGAGTCCTTAGAAATCAATTGTGACCAGCACGAGCGTGAGTCGCTCGATGTTGGAAAGAGAGTTAAATTAGAGTGCGTCTTTGTGCGTTTTCGTTTCGTTATCTTGGTGTTCTTTTCCTAGGTTAAATTAGTTTTATGAGTTTCGAGTTTGTGATATTCTGTTCTCGTTGTTTTGTCAATTTTCGGTGTCTCAAAATCAGTTTTCGCCATCCTACAGTACTTTACTACTACGTCTCTTTAGCTCGTAATAAAAATATATTGGAATTAATAACATGTTTATTCCTTGTATTCCCAATCAAAGTATATCTCCTACATTACATTAACCGGTTATTCTATTGATAAAGCTTCTTTTTGTTCTATTAAGTGTCGCAATATTATTCTAGTCGATCTCTCCCAATAGAATCCTAAATATACACACGATAACCTTCCGTTTGTATGCGATCTGTCGATATGTCTTTACTATGATACGAGAACTGACGTCGTCTTTGTGTCACTGGCGACAATCAAGACGATAATGCGCATACATATACATATACATATGCGTTCGCGTATACATATGCGCGAAATGAAATTCGGAATGCGGAAATATAAAATTCCTCCTGTGTGGTAGAAGTGTTCCTTTTTGGTTGCCGAGAGTAATAAGTACGTAACAACGTGGAATTTTTAAATATTTCAACAATTCTAAGAAATTGAATCTTGTCGTTAGAATCGAAGGTTAAACAAATTGAACTTGTCTCCATATCGAATTAATTGTCAACAGGCGAATAGCACTGTCAACACGAATAGCACTGTACTTAGGTATGCAATTCTAGAGATCTGAATGCGAAGCATCAAACCTGGGTTTACGTCACGCGCGAGGATATCAGTGGAGTTATAGTTTTCAACAAATGGCTGAATTGGAATAGATAAATCGACTAGCTAAATTTTCTACTCGATATTCTGGCAATTTTGCGATTAAGGGATTTTTAAGTAGGGGAGTTGTATATTCGAATAACGAAATCGTTTCAAACTTCAGTTACGATGTAAAAAAAGGGCTGGATTTAGCTGAAGAATTAGAATGTTGGTTAACTCAAAATAATTCTTCAACGATGCGTAGTGCAAAATTTAACCAGTTAGCTGTGACGCTCCCTTTTGAGAGTGCGCACCTATATGTGTCGCGAAAATCGAGCGACGACGAGTATACTCGTCAATCACAGAGTAAGTGTCGCTGTTAAATATTGGATCAAAAAGATGAGTTTATTTTATAAAATTGACAATTTTATTACTAATATTTACTTATTTGGTTAACATCTATTCTCTTATTGGTTAGTTTTTATGGATATCTATGAATTTTAGTGACCGTCAAAAAATAGCTGGGTAACTTCGGGCCAGCAGCCATCAATGGGCTCAGCGCCTGGTCAGCGTCACGCATTTGTCCCGTGGCGGATCATCCCTGAAGGAACCCTATCGTAAATCAGCTTTCCGACTTTTGCTTTTGCCCCTTTTACGCTACATCTAAAAAACGTTATCATCGCGCATAAATAAATTCGTTATGCGAACTGATAAGCTGTTTCAGCCGATGCATACGGGGACGCATGAGTTCATCTCAAATTATTCATATTTTTTATTTGTTTGTTTTATTCCGACCCGGCCTCAAAATATTCTAAACATCTTGAAATTTGAGAATATGTTTATTTTTCACAAAAATTACAATTTAAATAGCCAATGGTCACTACTTTTTACCCATGACGAGTATACTCGTCGTGACACAAAATTCTGCCACTTCTCCATGACGAGTATACTCGCCAATCACAGCTAACTGGTTAAAAGAGAATTTCAAAATTGCTTGGCTCCATATAAAGAGTTTTAGGAAAAACTATACTTGAAAACCAAGGAGAATATTTGCAAAGTGAGGCGGATTTTCGACCAATTAAAAGAAAAGAAGTTAGACTGCAGATATTTGACAGTGACAATGAATAATGAAACAATCTAATTGTAGTATCCTCGATGTATGAACCACATGATAAGAATGTCTAAATTCTGATCAGACTGGAACGGTTTCATAAGAGTGTTTGAGAATAAAACATTTGTTTTGGAAATAAATATAAATAAGAAGAAATATGAAATAACATCGATAAATAAGAGAACTTACGATAGAAAAGATTTTAATAAGAGCTTTGATAGGCGTCCCAAAGATAATTGTATAAAACAAAGTAATAAACCCATTGAGTAATCACCGATTTAGTTCAAATTTTGTAGGATGGTAGATTTAGTCTTTCTGATGGTGAGGGTATATGGTAAGCATTGCTCAATCATTATTTTGTAACGATCCCAAACAGAACTGAATCAAATTATAAATTTTCAATTGCAAATATCTTAAAAATTAACGAGATGTGGTGCCTATAACCATATACCCTCACCATCAGGAAAACTAAATCTACCATCCTACAAAATTTGAACTAAATCGGTGACTCGAAAGCCTTGCAGTCTCCTTGTTAGCCGAAGGAACGCACAAAATCAATATCTCATGTTTACCGAGAAGTACTGTTTCGATTTTAACCATCTTTCCCATAACATAAATTCTTCTTCTAAATACGAGAATTAAATAATTTTGGACAACATTCATGAAAGATTAAATCGGCTCGATCCTCACAAATGTGTCTGTGACATATAATATCTGTGATAATAGTATTGTGGGATGGCGAGCGATGAAGGACACTAACAAAGTATTAACCCTTTGCACTCGACGATTTTTTGGCTAAAGAAGAATAGGAGTTCAAAGATTTTTTGCTATAAAGCTGACGATATTTCTTTTAGTAATAAATAAGAAATCGTATGATAATTAACACGTAGAATTATTTGATTTCGATACCTCGCACATCATTACATTATCTAAAATTTGACACTTTAACGAATATCGAGCTTCGAAATTTCATCAAATGGAGACTGAAGGGCGCCTCTCGAGGGTAAAGGGTTAAAAAATATTGGTCATAAAAATAAAAATTTCCTATTTTTAACTATAAACGTCACTAATATGTATTGTGGGATGGCGAACGGTGAAGGACACTAATAAGGTATTAAGAGTAGTAGCGGGGCGAATGGGTGTGCGGTCTTACTTCTAAGGAAGTTCATGAAAACATTTGGGTGGCTTCTCACAAAGCGAGGGATAGCGAATGGCGGCATTGGGTCCGACTCGGACCTTCAGGACGAAAGCACAAACGATAGTGCCAAATCCTTTTGTCGGGATGTCTGTGACTATGTCGAATGATTGAGAAGAAAAGCCTATATACGAAAAGGGAGAGTTCTAGTTTTAACACGTTGACTGCCATGGGGGTCACCGGTGACCGGCGACGCGACCATTAGTAAAAATACATAATTAGAGTAAATATCGATACTGATAAATTTTTAAATAGTACCATCGTTACTATAATGGTTCGAAGAAATTAATGCCATACAGAACATGCAAAAATAATTTTATTTATACAAAGAAAAGGTGAACCAAAACAGTCGGCACAATATGTCGCCACTTTTTTAGTGCAATTCTTTGCTCTCATTCTTCCTAGCTGATTTGAATTATTTTCATAGCACACTTTGCAAAATCGCCTTACATTTCGCACACTTCCAGGTTTCTTTTTAAATTCGTGACGACGTTTTTTCTGTACGTAATTGCTCGATGAAATGCAATCTTCGTGATCGGAACATTTCACTAAATACATCGCTAACTTCATCCTAAAATCGGGAATTGAAATATTTTTTCGAGTTGGTTTTTAAACAATTGATAATGGCAAAAATGGTCTACAGCGCCGCGGGGGTCACCGGTGACCCCCACCACGAAAAATACGTTAAACACGATTATACAACTCATCTTATCTATTGTAAATAATATTTCAAAATAATATGCATCGCATAATAAAATATTCATGTTGGCGTCATGGGTGAACCACGTAAAATGCGCGTAGCAGTCAACGTGTTAAGTAAGGATGCAAGGAGAATAGGCAGAGTAGAGAGAAGTCAGAAGGCAGAAGGCTGAATGTGTGTGGCAGAGACGTAGTGAATAGACGATCGTGTGAGAAACCTAGTGTAATATTTTAGTTAAATAAAACCTGTTTTATTAGAAACAGAGAGTTATTGTTTATTAGACGCGCAGAACTATGTCTGCATACGATTAATTTATCCAAAAAATCCTACAGTATTGCTTGTGTTTAATAATTTAATCACTTCTCGGACCGATTGTCCATTTGCCTTGTAACAAATAACATCCTGTCGAATTTCAAAACACGTATTTCTTTTGTTTCGTCCAATTTTTACAATCGAAACGTCTAATATTACAAAAATTTTCTATCATAAACCAGGACACCTATTAAATAAAGCGTATTAATCCTGTTGTATAGATTGTTCATAATCGAAGAGAACGTCTGAACATTTACTCAAAAGTCAATCATCGTGTTACAAACAAATAATACTACTGTCAATTTCAATAAATATTTCGTCACAGAGACAGGGAACATGCTTCAATTTTTAAATTCAATTTCTTAGACATTGAGATTTACTATATCCCATTATCATAAAATTATTCATAATTGGTACTATCACTGCACGCAATGTTCTTACGAAATTGATTTCCCTAATGTATTTTATTTTCATTTAAATGTTAAATTAATTTAAACACAATGTGTTTTGTTTTATTTTTCATTTTTTCTTTTCTTTTTTACTAGGATGGATTGCAGGATGTTAATCAAATAAAGTCGATTGAAAAAAAAAATTTTTTCAAATCAGTCTTGACTGATACAGATTAAGATAAAAGAGTATTTATTTTAAGTAACGTTTTCTATAACATTCGTTTATAAACTTCTGACGACCGTTTATGCATGTTTGAATAAGTTTGCATTCGTTATTTGCTTGTTTCAGTGTACGTAATTTTAATGTAATTTTAATTTTATTAACTCTAAAAATGAAGAGTTAATAACGCTTAATAAGGTTTTGTTAATTTTGCAATGGCTTCCACAGATACAGTATCGAAATGAAAAGCTTGAATAATTAACTTAACGCTAATACAGAAACAGTGTAAACACCGTGGTGAAAAGAGTATAAGTGAATATATTGATATAATTTATACTACTTATAACAAAAAGTAAATAAATTAGAGCGAAAAACATAAAATACGAGTCGGGTGAAATTAAAAGTGCGAAATATGAATCGGTTGGTAAAATTAAAATGAGGCCTGCTGAAAAGATATACCGTTATTAAGATTCTAATTGGATAAAATATACTTTAAAGCAGATTCTGTTAATAATACCATATGCATCGTGGTTCATTTAAACGTTGCATGTACAGAGGTATAGTCTAGTCAGAGATTATAAAATGCTATTATTGCAAAATTTGTATTGCATAGGAAAATTTTATTTATGATTAATTCGCCTTATTTTCCTTCATATATACCGTCGCAATTCAAGGAAAGTAAATAATAATATTTCAAATCTTGCTTGGGGGATAAATATCGTCGATAGGTGAAATATAGTAATTGCTTTTCGAATATATTCGAATAGCAAGAACGACAATCGATGTTAACTAGTGCAAAAGAAGAAAGTGGATGTTTTCTCCATATTTTTCAATTCAATTCAAATATTTCCAGTATACGTTCGATTTTTATCTTCTCTTTTCATTCCATGTCGCATAACGATCCTTCTATTTTTCTTTCTTTCAATATAACAGCATATTGTACAATTATATGCGTAATGCTAATCTTACGATCGATAGTACTTGTCGCAAACGTGGTCGAATATTACCCAACTAATACTAATATTAATAATATTAATACTAATATTAATATTACTAATATACTGATATTAATAATATTAATACTAATATTAATATTACTAATATACTAATATTAACCCTTTGCACCCGACGATTTTTTGGCTAGAGAAGAGTAGAAAATCAAAGATTCTGTACTAAAAAACTGACGATACTTTCTTGAGCAGTAAATAAAGAATTGTATAATAATAGAATTGTAGAATTATTTGATTTCGATACCTCGGACACTTACATTACATTAAATTTGATATATTAATTATCTTCCAAATTTTATGAAATGGTGACTGAGGGTCACCTCTCGACTGCAAAGGGTTAATAACATTAATACTAACGTTAATTAATATTAATGTTACTAATATACTAATATTAACCCTTTGCACTCGAGAGGCGCCCTTCAGTCACCATTT